GTCCGAAGGACGCCAGTCGTATCGAAATATATAGCTGTCAGATAATTCCTTTTTGTTTTGTTTCCAGAAAACCTGTCAATTTAATGTCAGATAATCCTTTTCGACGATCCGCAGTTCCAGTTTGATTTTTTTTTTTTTTTTTTTTTAATTTTTATTTTAACCAGTGACAGCTTCAACCGAGGCCGGGGACTTCACAATTCAACCCTGAGATATCTGACAGCATCAGCCAGCTTAGCTTACAGGCCTTACGCCTGGCACAAGGTCTATCTTCCGACCTTGAATAACCCTTGCTCATCCTAAGAACCTACTGACACTACAATATCCTGATTGAAGAAAAATATTAAAGTGGTTTGCAGCATCATAACAGAGATCTTTTTTTTTTTTTTTTTTTTTTAACAACAACAACCCGGGTGGATGCTAGGGGTGCTGCCAGAAGCAGACACCGCTACCATTCCCGGGGAGGCTCCATCTATTGGTGGGGAGCAGCACCTGCTGGAAAGCGGGTCCAGCGTCCCCGAACATTGAAATTGATTGAATGATCTGACATGTAATTGTGAGGAGAGAGTGCCACCTGGGCTACCTATGAAGCTCTGAAATGTACTGCGTTATTTGACAATTAGAATTCTTACTGTAGCCTGTGTTACCTGCGTGCATGTCAGCCTACTTTGAGCCTATTTGAAACCTAATTGAAGCCTAGATGAGGTGATGACATGATAATGCACACATTTTGTCAATGTGCACATTTTGTCATGGCTAAGAAGCTTGACCGGGAGCAGCACCTGCAGGAAACGGGTCCAGCATCCCTAAATATGAAATCTGTTTGTTTGATCAGACATGTAGTTGCGAGGAGAAGCGGCCGCAGGGGCTAACTGTGATGCATGGGATGTACTGGGATGTTTAACACGTAGAACTCTTACTGTGGTTTGTGATGGTTGCCTACATTGACGATATATGTTTATTCTACTTTCCGCCTAAATGAAGTAATAGTATACTCATAATATATCATGGCTATGACGCATGACAGGTGGGATCACTCCCTTAGGGTTGCTTTCGTATGGTATATGTATAACTAGTTTGTCTGGTAGAGCTCTTACTGTATCCTCCATGACTGGCCTACTTGACCGCTACTTTGACATCCGACTTTTATCTCTACAAACTGTATTAGCTGTGGCTCTTGTATTCCAATACTGGAGATGAGACCGGACTGTCTCCCTTCCGGTTCCGATCCCTCATCTCTGTCTCATTGAACCCCTGCTCGTCCCCTTCTTTCTCCACTGGCCAGCCTTGACAGGGTACCAGTGAGGTGGACAGACCCTGGCCGGCTTGGTGATGGTGATGGTGATGGGAAGGG